TGCTGTCAGTTATACCTCCAAATATACCCAGAGCTGCATAGCTCCGAAACCCCCTGAGCCAAGTCATTGTCTCCAGTCTGAATTCCTGCAATGGCCTTCAAAGAGCTTTCCTTCTTCCATTCTTACGCCCACCATCAACCACACAATCCACTCAGTCCTGTAAATCTGAATCAGGTTATACCACTCCCCTACAAAAAACACTCCAACTTTTCTCATTTCACTCAATACACAGTGTACTAACTATTGTTATTTTCTTACCACTGTGTTATGACATTTTACTTCATTTTTTCGTAAAATCAAAAAAAAGAAGCCCAGGGCGGTGATATAGCTCAGCACGCTAAGCACTTGCTTAGGTAAGCGCCCGGGCCAGGGTTCGATTCCTGGCACTACATGACATGCCAGCTCTGCCCCTGGGGTGTGCTGAGCCGGTCGGTGATGGAGTCCAGGTGTGGTGGCACATGACTGTAATCCCAGCACTAGGGAGGCAGAAATCAGGAGAATCACTGCAAGTCTGAGCTGCATAGTAAGACCCTGCACAACAATAATAAATAAATAAATAAATAAATAAATAAATACTAAAAAAAGAATCCCAACTGATGACCAGAACATGCAAGTCTCACCATGACCCAGGCCCTCAGACGCTTCTCTGCTATCACCCAATAATCCTCCTCCTCCCTCTTCCCCTCCCCCTCCCCCTCCTCCGCCTCACATCTCTGAAGCCACACTGGCCTCATTACTCTGCCAGAAAGACAGCGTGTGCTGGGGACACTTGCCTCTCAAGACCTGTGTCCTTGCGAACTCCTCTGCGACACCCTCAGCCCTAACAGTGTGGCTGACCCTGCTTCCTCCTTGGAAATGTGCAAAGCTCATCCTGGGCAAGGCCTTTCCTGCTCACGCTAATCAAAACGTCAACGCTTTTCCCTCCTCCTGACAGCTGCATGACCCTTCCCTGACTTATTTTGTTCTCCTGACACTTCTGTCCCTCTAGCGTGTTCATAGACACTATTTTATTTTATTCTATTTTATTCTATTACCTAGCTGTCAAACGAGAACTCCACAAGGGCACAGGTTACTGGCTGCTTTGCTAACCACCATATATATCCAGGTCCTTGAGCCAGCCAGATTCACCATAGGAGAGAAATCTTTACCGAATGAATGAAAAAAGAATTTAAACATTTAACTGCCTATGGCCTTGTACTGGATGTCCTACATCGGGTCAGGGAGACAGCTCAGCAGCATGGCCACCTACCTGGATGTCCTACATACAGATCTATAAATATACGTACATAGTCATGAACATGTAAATCTTTTTTGTGTTTTATCATGGAAAAGCATAGTTTCTATAAATGATTAATACAAATACACACACCAACCTTCAGCTATGCACAGCAGTGGAAAATGAACTAAGTCTAAAGACCCAAGTTGGCTTAGTTTCCTTTTGTTTGTTTGTTTTTAGCTAGAGCCTCGCTATGCAGCTCATGCTGGCCTTGAACTTGCTGGGTGGCACAGGTTGGTGATGATCCGCCTGCCTCAGCCTCTACAGTGCTGGGATTATGGCTGTGCACCATCATGCCCATTCACAGACCTAAACTGTAGATCCTATTAGCTGTATGACATCGGGTAAGTGAACTGACCTCTGTGAACCTCAGTTAAGACATGTACTATAGAAAAGAAAAATAATGCCCCTTTCTCACAGAGACATTGTGAGACTCAAGTTAATATATATGGAAATAAGGCAAAAACTACGCAATGCTACCCAAAGATGCTGAGTAATCATATTAGAGTCACTTCCTGTAGGCGTGAGAAGCTCTAACACCTCCAAGAGGTAAATGAATCATGATGTGAGAGTTTCCCACAAAAACTTAAGATGCTTATGTGATCAACTTTTTCTAGGCAAATGTACAAATTAAATGATAAAAGTAAATATGTAGGGGTATATTAAGTACATGTAGAAACACAATTTTAAATTCCTTGTTCTATTATCATGTCTTTTTTAAAAAAGAACATAATCATAACTTAGTGACACCATTTTTTTAAAAATTTACTTCAAAAATGCACTGTTCTTACTAAAAATCAAAGGGAAACTTCCCATGGAAAATAAGTCTGAGTTTTCAACTACCAGATAAATGCACACAGTAAACTAAACAAAGGTCGGACTCTGCAAGATGAACAAGGAGCCTTCATCATTATTCCAATTTGACAGGCTCAACCCAGATAGGAAACTCCATTGTTTGTAAAACAAAAAATCTATCCCAACAGCCACATAATAAGCAAACTGAATTTGATTTAAAAGGTCATCTGCAGCAACCTAGTGGCTTAGCAACGGTGTTTGGGGTTGCTGAGAGACCTCAGATGCACATGGACTTGAATTTCTTGGTCTTGGGCATGTGAAAGCTAAAACAATCATTGGGAAATCTACAGAAAAGAAAAAAGAAAAAGTACTGGCTCTCCTGAGAGAATCTTGATGCTCAAGCAAAATTCCCAACAACCAGCCTCACTTAATCACTGACGACAATTAATTTCCCTGCACAGTGATGTCAACCAGCCTGGTCCTCAGAGACTTCTTCTGAATTTATATTCAAATAACCAGGAATGGCCATTGAGAAAATGATCTAAGACCTGGGAAGTGTGGTTCAAGCCAAACAAAATCACCACACAGTTTTTCTAATTTGCTGAAACGAGACTATTAACACCTACTATCTATTAGGTCTTCATTCACCCAACAACTCTTACAGAACATTCCTGGAGGAACCAGGGAAGATTTCTTGGAGGAGTCTGAGAAAAATATGATAATGGGGCAAATGGTAACTAAAATATTTACCTGTAATGATTTAACCCAATGAGAAAGAAACATGTGTTAGACCAAATTCCATTTAAAATCTCATACAAGATTAAAGACTGCAGTTAATTTGACTTGAACCTGAACTACAATTAAAGTTCAAAATATTAGAGCAATCCATAAAAATACTCCATAGAAATAAAAAAGCAACAAATTCCCAGAGTTCTTCCATCTCTGCTGAGACAAAGGTGAGCTCAGAAACTGCTATAAGCTGGTTGTCTCCCAAAATTCATGAGTTAAAATTGAATCCCATGGTGACAGTGATAAGAGGTGGGGCCCAGAACCAAGTGATCACTGTCAGAATCCCAGCCTTGTGAATGGATTAGCGCCTCATACAAGGACTGGATGAGCCAAGCAGGGTAATACATGCCTATAATCCTGGCATTCTGGGAGGCTGGGGCAGGAGGATCAGAAGTTCAAGCTAGCACAGGCAATTTACCCATCTAGTGAGGCACTTTCTTAAAATAAAAAATGAATAAATTTGAAAAATGGCTATTCAGCTCAGTGTGAAATTCCTGGGTTAAAATCCCAAGTAACACGCAACCACATGTGCACGCACACACACACACACTCTCTCTCTCTCTCTCTCTCTCTCTCTCTCTCTCTCTCTCTTTCTCTGATATTTACAATGCTAACCAGCTCTGGTTAAGATATATATCCCATTCCCACATAGATTTGAGAGATATTTTATTAACTGGCTGTTGTCTTGATCACTGACAATTGAGCCAAACATGAAAGTGTTGAGGTCACAGTCAGATGCCCATAGAGTCAGCTCAATCAACTCTGATGTGGACCTATACTGGATGTGTCCCATCTTAAGGAATACAGTGGAAGGACAGCCACAGACGGGGTTTGTGGTCAGACAACTCAAGGGAGAAATCACTTCATCGTGTGCCTTGTTGGGTTGGACAAGTAACCGAACATGATGACTTTCAACCCCCTCCTCAGTAAAGAAAGAGACTGCAGTAGCTACCACAGGATGCAGGAAGGGTCAGCTAGGTCATTTCTTTAAAGTGCTTCAAGCAGTATGTGGAACAGGACAGAGTGGATACTTCAAAAGTCCCTGTTAAATACCGATAGATCATTAACACAGCATAACACTGAACTTCTTCTCAACATCCAGGCTTTCAGGGACAAAAAAAAAAGTGCTATCTTTAATTTTTTTTTTTTTCCAGAACCGGGGATAGAACTCAGGCCCTTGTGCTTGTAAGTCAGCACTTATTTTACTGAGCTATCTCCGAGCCCCAAAATTTATTCCAAAGAGGGTATAAAAATAATAGATAAGACATTAGAAATGATACACATTTAAAAAAAAAAAGATGAAAGGCATTCAACAGTGGTTGTTATACTGAACACTGCTGTCTTCAATGTAGTTGCTCAGATTACAGATATTAGCATATAAAATGTGTCAAAGTAAAAACTTTCAACATTAACTGCTACCCCCAAAAGACTGATAGAAGTTAGTAGTACAATCATCTTAGCTATCCTGTGCATATACTTACATGCTTTTTCCCTTTCCACTTTTTCTCCTTGCCCTCATCTCAATTGTTTATTCCCTATGTTCAGTTGCTTCCTTTTTTTCCTATATCTATTGTACTTTTCAGATACCTTATCTTCCTGTTTTACTATGTCTATTGTACCTTTATTTATTCTTTCAGGCTCTTAAACTAGGGAGACAACACAATGTTTACACATGGGGGTCTGATTTATTTCACTTCTGAGTCTGGTCTCTAGTTGCATCCATTTACCTATAAAAGCCTTGCACCTATCATTTTTATACCTGAGTAATGCTCCATTGTGTAAAAATACAGCTTTTTCATTTATTCCTCAGTTGAAGGGTATTTGGGTTGTTTCTAAGATTCAGCAGCTGTGACAAACTGAGATAGATACACTGCTGTGGTATGACGTTTTCTTCTGGAACCATACCTAGAAGGGCAACACCTGGGTCAATTGGGGCCTCCAAGCCTAGATCAGAGGAACCTCCACACCCACTTCCACCATGGCTGTACCAGTCTGTACGCCCACCAACAGTGGAGAAGTTTCCTTTGCCCCACAGCCAAAGCTGCTGTTTTATTGCCTAGCATTTCTTTAGTCCTAGTTTATCAGTTATTCTACAAGTGTCTCCACGAACCAAAGCTCCTGTTCAGACCAGCAAGCTCACCTGAAAACAATGTTCGAGTGTGAACTGATGTTTTTTCCTCCGTACTGAGTAATGATCCAGGACGGCCTTGGTCTCACACCCCACTGACTGAAACACTCATCAGAAAACTGCTTCAAGTTCCACAGGAAAGGTTCAAACATGTCATCGATGCCATTAGCACAAAAGGGCATGACCATCTCTGTGCAGGCCTAAAAGAAAATGAGTAAAAGATCTGAAGGGAAAATGGGACACCCTCTGAGGAAATGCACTACCCAAGACCATTAGCGAGAAAGGAGCACGGCCATGTTCTGAACTCAGGCAGTCAGGCTGGAGGTGCCTGCTCGCTACTTCTGTGCCCTCAACCTCTTACCATTGATTGATAGACTGATTGATTGATTGATTTTGTCTTTGTTTGAGACAGACTCTCACTATGCAATTCAGGCTAGCCTTGAGCTCACTACGTAGCCCAGGCTGGTCTTGAACTCACAACAATTCTCCTGCCTCAGCCTCCTGAGTGCTGGGTTACAGGCATGCACCACTACACCTGGCCTCATTATTTTTTCTCTCCCTTAGTATTCACTGAATCGCTTCTTGGCCTTTTGGCTAAGATCAAGTGTAGTATTCACTGAAAGGTTGGCTGAGAAATCAGACACGAGGACTCTGTATTCCTTCTTCATACATTTCCTTCTTTCACATCTGTTATATTTAAACTCCAAGACTGTTCTGAAGGGAAGCCTTGTGGTTATTAATAGTGCTTTTTGGTAGCTGAGAGGATGAAAAGAGAGAGCTGGATTACACTCCCTTTCGTAGATTTAACCATAAAGTGTTTCCATTATAGGATCCATCAAGATCTAGCACGACATTAGATCGACTGCCTGCCTTTCCTACCAGGCTATACTTGATGGCAAGATCGTATGTGTTAAATATCTTAGCACCTTTGAAGCTCGGAAGAACGCCCAAAGCCTGGCAGGCACTTGCTCTGTTTTCTGTGATGATGAAGTACACGAATGGCTGAACAGATGAGGATTGCTAACCCTCATCTCACAGAGCACGGCATGAGAGCCCAGAGTAGGTCAGGTGGCGTCTGTGTGGTCTCCTATTGTGTCACACGTGAACCCATGGACAGTAAATCCTGCGTGGGAAGCCTGCACGCTTACCTGATAGCTCCAGCCCAGGATTCCCAGATTGCTGGTTGCCGTTTCCGAAATATTCAGGCATTTTGCCTGGCCCGAATAATTATAATACACATTCAGAGCTTGGAAAATATTCTGCAGCAGCAGCAAATCAGATACGTTAGGATTTTTCAAATACTGGCACACGACCTGTCATTTGAGATCAACAGGGGTAGAATCAGAATATAAATATGAAACTTTAGTCTAATACAAGGAAAAAAATGATTTTGATCTGATCAGAAAACATCCTTAAATATCTTAACTGCATTGCTTGAGAATTTTCTGGCCCTTGAGTGTTATCCCCTTCTTAAAGTAACAAGCATTTAAAATCCACCCATCTACAGGAATGACCCGGGCCGTTCACACGTCACGCGAAGTTCCCTCCACATGCCACTGTGACCACATCCTCACAACTCGTGCCCGCCGTGCAAAGCCGTCCCTGCCTCACCACACGCTTCCCTCCTTCTTCGCCCCGCTCCCTTTTCCTATTCTCCTGCTCCACTGACTCCTAGAAAATGCGAGCTCTTACAGCGCCGCCTTCCCTCTGAGGCTTGGCCTGCCTCTGTGTGGGAGGCAGGAGGCAGGAGGCAGGAGGCGGGAGGGCCCCCCACCCCCACCCCCACCCTGCACGCCCAGCTTGGGGTTTCCCCTGCACCCTACACCTGCTTCTGTCGGAGCCCCTGCCAAGCTCCCTTGCATTCACCTGATGCTAGAACATCTACCTCCAGGCTTCGCAAGGTCTCTTTGCTGAATGAAAGACTAGACTTTTTTTAAATACAAAATTTATAAAATTCCTTATGGAAAAACTACACTAAGCCCCCATATCCATGCTGTGATACACATATCCTGCGTCTCGCTGGGCCTCAGATATTCCCATCAGTGGTCTACAATCGCTGTCTGAAATTCTAGCTCTGAAAATTCTAGGGAGTACTCGGGGAGCGAAGCACTCTTAATGAAGGTAGACAGGGATGACCAGAGGCTCTGGAACGCCTTCCCCCGAGCTACGGGCATCCACTAGATCCTCAAGAGGCTTACACAGTGGGGGCACTAATGTGTGCAATTCCTTGCACTTTTTTTTTTTTTTTTTTTTTTAAAGACAGGGTCTCGCTATACAGTCCAGGCTGGTCTTGAACTCACTATGTAGCCCAGGCTGATTTTGGACTTGCTTTGAGCCTCCTGCCTCAGCCTCATGAGTGCTCGGATTATAGACATACACCAACACACCTGGCCATATGCAGTTTTTAAATACCCTCCCAAAAAAGAAGTAAGCAAATATTGAACTCCGGTTAATGATAGTAAGATTTAATTATTTAGGAGGACGGAGTCTGCAACTTTGAAATGCATTAAAAGCAATATGGATAAAGAATGCATATATAAGTCAAATATAGCAAAATATTTATAATATCTATGGTTTTTTAAAGTGTGTGTGTGTGTGTGTGGCTTTGAGACAGGGTTTCCACTACATAGTTCAGGCTGGCCTCGAACTCACAGCAATCCTCCTGCCTCAGCCTCCTGAGTACTGGGAATGCAGGCGTGCACCACCACATTTAGCTTATAGAATTTGGATGGTAATGGGTAGGGATGCAGTTCAGTAGCAGAGTGATTCTAGCATTTAACACCAGAAAGAGGGCCAGGAGTTAGGAGGTAAGTCTATGTGCTCACTATCTACTTATTTTAATTTTTCTGCATGTTTAAAATATTTCATATATGGGGCTGGAGAGATGGCTCAGTGGTCTAAAGCACCTACTTGAATCAAGCTTGGCGAAGCACAGGGACTGCGGTTCGATCCCCAGCACCACATGCCAGCCAGCCCCGCCCCCTGGTGGGCTGAGCTGGCCACACACACACACAATAAATAAATGTAATAAATAAAAATAAATAAATATTTAAAAAAAATAAAATAAAATAAAATATTTCATCTAATGTAACGCCATAATTATATCTGAGGGAAAACGTCATAGGCAATGGAATGACAGCTAAGTAATAGCAACATCTACTGAGGATTCAACTTTGAGTTTAAAACCATTACAATATTTATTCCTCAAAACCCCTATCAAATAATTATCCATTATTTCACATTTTAAAACAGATCCTTAGGTTAAATCATTTTATTCAAGGGCCCTCTGCTAGTGAGTGGGTTTAGGGTCAGGGTCAGGCTTAAGCTTAGGCTTAGGACTGTGCCCAGTCGCCTCTGCTTAGGGCATACATCTTCTCCATTCAGCTGTATAGCTTAGAACACATCCTTCTACAAAACTGCAAACAGTCCCAGCAACAAGGAAAGATATAAAGCTCACAGGCTCTCTTAGACCTTTGACATGAATTCAGCGATCTTGTCCTTTCCCATATGGAAAAAAATATGTATATGCAATAGACAAGTTTTGGCAAGAAGAAAGAAAAATAAAAAGGACGAGTCCAGGGAAGACGCTGGTAGGCTACAACTCAGGGAGTGCACCTCAGTGGCAGATGGGGGTAGCAGGAGCAACACGGCACAGGCCGGGGACAAGTCCCCCAGGGCAGGACAGCACAGGAGCAACAGTGCGAGGCCACAAGCCAACAGTCCTTATCGCAGTTCTGCCCAAGACCAGCTTCCTGTGACACCTTTTAGGAAAAAAAGGAAACTTGACAAGGTTGGGACAACCTGACGCTGCTGTCCAAATATATTCTGCTGGACAATATGTTCATGGAAAGACTAGTTAGGCAAGTAATTCCAAGGACCACTGCACCAGCAAATGTGAAGAGTTTTGTTGCCAGCAGGATTTCTCAGAGCCTTGAACATGCCGGCCTGCAGTGTGGCTAGCGGAAGGGAAGACAGGGTCTACATCAATTCGGGGGAGTTTTTGTAAAGTATGCGAAAAGTCAGGAAAGAAGATGGCCAAACAACTGTATAGATCTTTGACAAAGTACCACATGAGGTCATAAGCATAACATACACTCTCATTCAGGACAAACATGAAGAAAGACAACTGAAGTAAACCAAGAACAGCATCACAAACCTGTCTTGCCTAAGTCAACAAGGAAATGCCAGTTGAAGGGAAGCAACGTAAAACGTTTTGCCCTTTCAACAACCTGATGGTAAGTCTGAAACTACCTGACATTTGCATAGCACTCAGAAAATGTGTTCCAGAAAAATATGGCAGCCAGAAACACTGCAGACAAGAAGTCAAGAACTAATCACAAGGCAGATCAAACAACGTGTTGCCGGCCGTGGAGCAGCCCCCTTTGCTCAGCCTGGACACCAGCAGCAGTCTCCGCTTCGCCACATTCAGCAAAACTACAGTGCAGACCCATGAGCTGCAGAGACCAGGGTGTCGCAACACAGCATGGAGGATGGGCAGGTTGACAATGCCCCCCTGGGGGGCTGGGGGCGGTACTGCTGTTGGACCAAGGGTCTAAAACTCTGGAAAGGAGCAGGAGCACAGTGAGTATGACTCACATGCTGGCATTAGAGTCCCTCTTCAGGCTAGAACACTGGGCTTCTGTCAGGCAAAGAAAAGGAGTCTCCGTGAATAGCCACCTCTGTAAAGAACAGTTACTGTCACTCCTTGAAAGACATAGCCTGGCTGGAGACTGGCACCAGCTGACAATACCCGGGTTTTGGCAGCCCCGGAGCACCACGGTCAGAAGCTTGGCCTCTGCTGATAGAAACTGCTGTCAGATTAAGAGCAAGCCTGGGCCGCTGTCCTCTGCGAGGTCAGACTCCCCTCAGGGCGCTGGGTCCACTTGTAGGCACACACCTTAATAAGGACATCGACCAGTGTTAGGAAGTTCAGAGGGAGCACACAGGATGTGGGTGCAGCTGAAGCAATTCTGAAATGGGGTTCTGTGGATCATTCCCAAGCTTTTTGTTACAATTAAAACCAAAAAAAAGATCCTGAGGGGTAAATCTTTACATTTATAATCTTTGTTATTTTCTCTTGAAAGACAGGAGCGATGAGTCACAGCTGTAGTTCTCAGAACATCAAGGCCTTTGCCACTGCGCCTTCATCACCTTCCGCCCCTCGCCCCACCCACCCTCCCTCCCCGGAGACCCTCCCATCTCTACAGGGTTGGCCTCCGTTCCTGAATGTGCCTCTCCACTTGCTTTTTAAATTACTTATATGGCCCGGGGAGATGGCTCAGTGGAATAAGTGCTTCCCTGGCAAGCACAAGGGCCTGAGTTCAATCCCCGGTTCTGGGGGGAAAAAAAAATCTTATACTGTGAGTTTCTTAGAGAAACCATGGGATATTGAATCCACTTAGCATTATGGTCTCAAAATCCAACCACTTTCCTATAAAGGACTCAAATTTGGGTCATGATGGCTGAGATACACTTTTGCACACAAACAAATGTACATGCGTACATTTTCCTTATCCATTATCCGCTGATGGGCGTCCCGCCTGCTGCCACGATTTGGCTCCCGTGTTCAGGCGGCTGTGAACATGGGTGTGCGTGTACCAGCACAGTGGGATGACGTCACTCACTAGGGAAGACACCCAGGAGGTGGATTCCTGGGTCAGATAACATTTCCATTTTCAGTTTTCTGAGAAATCTCCATGCTGATTTCCAAAGTACTGGTATTAGACTTCCTTCTCACCAACAAAACAGAGATGTTCCTGTTTCCTCCGAACTTTGCCAGGTTTGTTGCTGAGTCTTGGGTAATGGCCATTCTTACTGGAGTGAGGTAGTCTTGTTATTTGGATTTCAATTTCTTTAACGGCTAAAGATGCTGAACGCTTTTTCATGTACTTATTGGTCATCTGTATTTCTTCTTCTGTGAAGGATCTATTCACTTCAATTGCTCATTTTTAATTGGGTCTTTCATTGGAGGGATTAATTTCTTTTTTAGCTCGTAAATATTACGGGCATTAGTTCTCTGCCTGAGGAGTAGCTGGTAAAACTGCCTTCTCACACCATCGGTTGTCTTTTCACTCTGTTGGTTGTCTTCTTTGCTGTGCAGATTTTTAACGTGACAGACACACTCTCATCTGCTGACTCCTGGTGTCATAACGGAGTTTGGAAGCCTTTGCCTATGCCTATGCCTTCAAGGGTTGATCAATTTTTTCTTCCACTAGATTTAGCTTTTTTATATATAGAGAGAGGTCTTTGCTCTAATTAGGCTTAATTTTAATACAGGGTGAAGAGCTATAAATTAAAATCCATTCTTTTGCCT